CAGAGCAATCTTGAGAAAGAAGAACAAAGTTAAAAGTATCACATTACCTGATATCAAACTATACTACAAGGCTATAATAATAAAAACAGCATGGTACTACCCTGTTTCCCCGAAAATAAGACAGTGACTTATATTAATTTTTTCTCCCAAAGTTGCGCTAGGTCTTATTTTCAGGGGATGTCTTCTCTTTCCATGCGCTAGGTCTTATTTTCGGAGGATGTCTTATTTTCTGGGAAACACGGAAGCATAAAAAAGACATATAGATCAATGGGACAGAATGAATCCCAGAAATAAAACCACACCTGTATGGTCAATTATTATTTGACAAAGGAGACAAGAAAATACAATGGGGGTAAAGACAGACTATTCAATAAATGGTGTTGGAAAACTGGACAGATATGTGCAAAAAGGTGAAACTAGACCATACACAAGAATAAACTTAAACTAGATTACAGACTTAAAATGTAACACCTAAAATGATAAAACTCCTAGAAAAAAAATTTAGGCAGTAAAATCTCAGACATTACTTGTAACAATATTTTTTCTGATATATCTCCTCAGGCAAGAGAAACAAAAGAAAAAAAAATAAAACTACATTAAACTAAAAAGATTTTGCAGAGCAAAGGAAACCATCCAACAAAATGAAAAGAGTAGTCTATGCTGACTTCCAGATTTCTGGCTTAGGGGACTGAGTGGATCGTGAAGCTCTGATGTCTGGGGCAGGATAAGCTTTTTAGTTTCCAAGTCAAGAAAGATGACAAGAGAAAAAACTCCAAGTGAAGATTGTTTAACTGATAATATGGAGACATGCAATTCAGGAGACCAAAAAAAGACTCTCATAAAGTAAATAATGAGGCCTGGCATTCTTGTGCAGAGATAGAGCCAAGAAATTATGACCATACACTTAGACAACAAAGAGGACATAAATGGCAAAATGGAGGTCAAAATAAAAGAGAAGCAAGATCCTTAGAATGCTAAAAAACATTGTCAAGATGATTTGCAAAACCCACACATACCTGTCACTGGAACTCTTAGTTATTGATAATAACAAAAACCTTTAAAAGGAGTGATATTTTCTAGGGAGGTAATTGTTGTGGATCTTGGGACGGAAAACCTTACACCTGAAAGCTATATTCAAGAACATAAAGAGAGGAAATGAAACTCAAAAAAGGCTGAGAGTGAAAGAAATATAAACTTAGACCAGGGGTGGAGAATGTCCTGCTCGAGGGCCATATAAGTTCTTCAAAATCATTTAGTCTGGCTCTGCCTAGGCATTAGAGGTGAATTAATTAAATGTTTGACCAAATATAGCAGACTAATTAAAAAATAGTTTTATTGATTTAAGAGAGGAAGGGAGAGGGAGAGAGAGATAGAAACATCGATGATGAGAGGGAATCACCGATTGGCTGCTCCCCGCCCCCAACTAGGGATCAAGCCCGCAACCCAGGCACATGCCCTTGACCAGAATTGAATCCAGGACCCTTCAGTTCACAGGCTGATTTTCTATCCATTGACCCAAACTGGCTAGGGTTATAAAAGGCTATTTATTTATTTATTTATTTATTTAAAAAAATATATTTTATTGATTTTTCACAGAGAGGAAGGGAGAGGGATAGAGAGTTAAAAACATCGATGAGAGAGAATCATCAATCAGCTGCCTCTTGCACACTCCCCGCCGGGGATGTGCCCGCGACCAAATTACATGCTCTTGACCGAAATCGAACCAGGGACCTTTCAGTCCACAGGCCGATACTCTATCCACTAAATCAAACTGGTTTTGGCAAAGGCTAATTTTTTAGTTGATAATTTTGAATGGCCTTTGGCTGAAAAAAAGTTCCACACCCCTGCCTTAGACTAACAATTAAATGACTGGGGGTACAAAATCATGTTGAAAGAACACATAATGGGAAATTAAGCAATACAAATAGTATTTTACCTTTGTGTAGAAACAAGTGGGTTACATGGAAAAAAAATTTGTAAGTAAAATACCCAGAGCTTGAATATAGTTTTTTTTTAAAACTCAAATCTGAATTCAAAAAGTTATATTAAATGTCCTTGAAACTCAGTTTACTCAAACACTGTCTAACACCTGAATAAAGAATTTTGTGTTTGTGCCAAAGGGAAAAAAAGAAAGAAAGAAAGAAAGAAAGAAAGAAAGAAAGAAAGAAAGAAAGAAAGAAAGAAAGAAAGAAAGAAAGAAAGAAAGAAAGAATAAATAAAAGACAACTTACTGAATGAAAGAATATATTTGCCACCCTGGCTTGTGCTGCTCAGTTGGTTGACCATTGTCGATGCACTGAAAGGTTGCCTGTTGGATTCCTGGTCAGGGCACATGCCAGGGTTGTGGGCTTGATCCTCAGTAGGAGGCGTGCAGGAGGCAGCTGATCCATATTTTGTTTGCACTTTGATGTTTCTCTCTCTCTCCCTCTCTCTTTTTTTCTCTCTAAAAATCAATAAACTATCCTTTTTTTGTTCTTTTAAAGAAAGAAGATATTTACTAATGATACTTCTGATAAGGTGTTAATAAAATTTATAAAGAATTAATATGACTCAATACAGAAAATCAAACAATCCAATTAAAAAAAGGCAGCCCTTGCTGGTTTGGCTCAGTGGATAGAGCCTGCAGACTGACGGGTCCCAGGTTTGACTCTGGTCAAGGGCATATGCCCAGGATGCGGGCTTGATCCCCAGAAGTGTGTGTGCAGGAGGCAGCCAATCAGTGATTCTCATCATTGATGTTTATGTTTCTCTTCCCGCTTCCTTCCTCTCTGAAATCAATAAAAATACATTAAAAAAAACAAAACAGGCAAAGGACCTGAATAAACACTTCTCCAAGGAGGACATGCATATGACCAATAGATAGATGAAAAGATGCTCAGCCTCATCCATCAAAGAAATGCAAATTAAAGCCACAATGAGATATCAACTAACAACTTTCAGAATGGCTATTATGAATAAATCAACAAACAAGTGTTTGCTAGGAAGTGGAGAAAAGGGAATGCTCATGCACTGTTGGCAGGAATGCAGATTGGTGCAGCCACTATGGAAAATAGTATGGTGGTTCCTAAATAAAATTAAAAATTTGAACTGCTTCATGATCCAGCTCTTCCACTTTTGGGTATTTATGAAGAAACCAAAAACAGTAATTCAAAAGAATATATACACCCCTATGTTCATTGCAGCGTTATTTACAATAGCCATGATTTGGAAGCAGACCAAGTGCCCATCAGTAGATAAGTGGATAAAAAAAGTGAAATGCATACAACAATGGAATATTACTCAGCCATAAAAATGAAATATTAGCATTTACAATAGCATGCATAGACCTAGAGGACAGTATGCTAAGTTAACTAAGCCAGTTAGAAAAAGACAAATACCATATGATTTCATTTACCTGTGGAATATAAAAAACAATATAAATGAACAAACAAAACAGAAAGATACTTATAAATATAGTGAACATACTAATGGTGGCCAGAGGGAAGGGGTGTTGGGGTACTGGGTACAAAAGTAAAGAGATTGAGAAGTAGAGATTGATAGTTACAAAACAGTCACTGGGATCTAAAGTACAGCATTAGGAAATTTAGTAAGAATATCATAATAATCATGTATAGTGCCAGGTGAGAACTGAAATATAGGGAACATCACTTTGTAAAGTTTATGAATGTTTAACCAGTATGCTGTACTGCTGAAACTAATACAAAAATAACATTAAATGTAAACAAATTTAAAAAAAATAAGACTGAAAGAAGTGACTGAAACAGGTAGTTGCATGACTTTTAGACAAACAAACAAATAATACATTTGTAAAGAATTGACAAAACAAATAGGTTTGAGAGTGGGGTAGTAAATTGGTGAAGAACTAACGAGGATTTTTTATACAGCCTTCTTAGCTGTAAATTTCATATTTCTGGTGATAAGGATGTCTAATATCCTCCTGGCATAGGATAGGTACCATTCATGTGGAGATTTTATTTTTGCTTTTAGGGTAAGGTGACCAGATCGTCCAGGTGTTGGCGGGACAGTCCTGATTTTTAACAATTTTTCCCACGTTTCGCGGCATTTTAAGGAAGTCCCGATTTTTGGAAAAAATCGTTCCAATGTTTTCAATCCTTCCAAAAATATGGACTTTTTTTTTTTTTTTTTTAAACGCTGCGGGACGCGGAAAAAATTGTTAGAAATCAGGACTGTCCCGCCAACACCTGGACGATCTGGTCACCTTATTTTAGGGGGACAAAGGATCGTCAGTGTATCCTGCTCCAGCTACTTCCTAAGTAACTTTAATTCAAAATAATCAATAGGCCAAACTCACATATTTTGAGTGTCACATTATACTCTCCTTCAGCTGGTTCTTACTGCTGCCCCAACATGCAGCCTCATCGTCTTCCCCAGTTTAGTAGCGGGAGCACAGCCTTCTCATTCAAGTTTCTCTGAACGTTGTTCTGCCCCTTTTCTGGGTTTAGATATAGTTCATGCTTGCACACTACTTAACCTCTCACCCTACTTAACCTCTCTGAACCTGAGATCCTGCAACCCAATTTCTCCACCTGGACAACCGCCTTCCCCCGAAAGTTCTCTAACCCACCCTTCCTTTTACACCAGGAGTGTACCTTTGTGGTTGAAAGTTATTGTCTCCTAGAGTTCCACAGCGCCCCCAGTGGTCCTATGGGCACACTGCAACACCCGGTGCTTCCTGTCTCTTCCCTCCTAGGGGGCGATGTCTAAGGAAATTGGTCCCAGAAGGCCTTGCTGTATGACTCTGAGCTGGTCGCGGTGGTCACCCAGTCGCATGGTCTGGGAGTCGGTGCTAGTGAGGAAGAGGATGGCGTGAGGTAGGAAAGAGGCGGAGGAAGAGGCTGGGACTTGGCTAGGGCTGGATTGAGACTGAACCGGGAGGCGAGGGGCGCCTGGATTGGCAGCCGCCGCTTTTACAGGCGGCGGGGCGGCGGGGCGGCAGCCTTGTGCCCCTGAGGCGGGCGGTTGACTAGGCCTCGGCGGCCATGGCGGGGAATTTCGGAGATGCCGCGGGTGGGTTCCGCCACAACGAGGTGGTCAGTTTCATCAACAACGAAGTCCTCCTGAACGGGGGCGGCCCCGATTTCTACACGACGCTCCGCTCGCAGTCCTGGAACGAGATCGAGGACCGGCTCCAGGCCGTCCTGACTGACCCGCAGGTGCCGCGCATGCGCCAGAGGGCCTGCGCCTGGAGCGCGCTCGCCTTGGGCGTGCGCGTGGCCGCGAGGCAGTACGAGCACCAAGTGCACCGGATCCAGCAGCTGCAGAACCAGGTGGAGGAGCGCAAGACCATCTCCTGGGCTCTGACTTCTCAGCTGCGGCAGATGCTCAAGGAGCGGGACCAGGCGGCCTCAAAACTACAAGGTATACTGACTGCCCTCCAGCAGGCGAAGGGAGAACGTGATACGTTGTCCCGGAGACTGAACCAGGTGAAGGTGTCCACTCCCATCAAGGCGCTGCCTCAGGCAGTCCAGCCTGTGCGGAGAGACCAGCCGTCTAAGGCCCCGCCATGGCCCATGACTGCAGAGAAGCAGGGCAAGATGGCGGCTACGGGAGCACACAACACGCCACTTTTGAAAACCCCGGTGGCAGCCCTGGGGGGTAAGCTTTGCCAGTCGGGAAACCCAAGTACCTGGGCCCCAGCCATACAACCGCTTCTGCCAATACTAGCACCAGGTCTATTGCCAGTCCGTGCGCCATTACTACCAACACCAAGAGTCAGGAAAGCAGAAGGTGCAGTGGCAGGAACTGTGACAACAGCAGTCCGTGCGCCATTACTACCAACACCAAGAGTCAAAGCAGAAGGCGCAGTGGCAGGAACTATGACGGCAGCTGTCCGTGCGCCATTACTACCAACACCAAGAGTCAGGAAAGCAGAAGGCGCAGTGGCAGGAACTGTGACAGTAGTAACAGCAGCAGCAGCAGCAGCAGCAGCAATACCCAAGATACCTCCTCTTCTCAGAATTTACTCACCTGACTTCTGTGCTGCAGTGGGGGCCCAGAAGAAGATAGCTTCCCTGTCTGACCAGAGAGTATATCCAGTGATGCCACAGAAGTATCTCCTGGGGAACAGCAAGAGCCAGGGTCAAGAAAAAGGTCCAGTGATGCCCCAGGGTTACTACTTCCTGGGGAACAGCAATAGCCTTAGTAAGGCAAAAGGTCCAGTGGTGCCCCAGTGGAAGTACTCCCTGGGCAACAGCAAAAGCCATGGCCAAGGAAAAGGTCAACTGATGCTCAAATGCCCAGAGAAACAACAGCCTCAGGGGCAGAAGGCCAAGCAAGCAAAAGGGATAAGAGCTTCAGAATTCCAGCACCAGGGGATGACTGCCTCACCCAACAATAGACAGAATTGGGACTGCTCATGGTGTAAAATGATTAATTATTCCTGGTGCAAGTTCTGTTGTAAATGCAAGAAAGTCCGTATGGCAGTTCAGAGTGGAGGCCTGCGCCCATGACAAACTCATTTCGGAAAGTAAGTAAAATACACACACACACACACACACACACACATACACACAACAATTTCATAAGACTCCCTACTAATGAAAAAGTAACTCATTTACCTCACCAAAATTATAGGTAAAATTACATAAAATAATCTATTATTCCATTACCAATTAACCACTTTTTATTATTCTGAATCCACAAAAAATATGTAGGTCTTTATATTTTTATTTTATACATTTATTTTAACAAAAACTACTTTTGAATATTATACTTATCTTCCCCCTCCCCACTTAGTCTTTAAATAGATGATTTATGCTAATTGAATTTTAAGTTCATAGGTGGCAAATTCTGGATGACTGATGCTGATTAGACATTTGGAGACACTGAAATCATGAAGCCTTTTTTTCTCCTTTCTGTTTTCTCTAACCTTATTTTCCTAAAAATGCCATGTCTTTGGCTGAGAAGAGCCCTGTGTTTTTTAGAATTATATGCTACACTGAATTTTAGGAACATTGCTTTCCCTTGAAAATGCTATTGTTTCTTTGTAAACTACTGCCGTGTTCATGTTTGCTTGTCTTTCTTAAGTTTTACAGGTGAAGGCCTGTTTTTGTGTTTCTGAGCTTCACAGAATTTGCTTGTTGCTGAAGAGACACCCCACTGGCTGGAAAAGAGAAGAGTGAGAGAAAGTCAGGGAATAAGAGATTCATTCATATATTATTGTTTTTATATGAAAACTTAAAAAAATTAATAATTTTATTATTCAGTTAGTTTACTTTCAATATTATTTGTGCTGCTTTCATATATATAGTATAGCGATTAGACAATCGTATACTTTACAACGTGTTGCCCTGATATTTCCAATATCCTCCTGACACCATACATAGTTACTACAGTATTATTAACTATATTCCAACTATAGTCCCCATGCTGTGCTTTACATCCTGTGAGTATTTTGTAACTTCCAATCTGTACTTCTCAATCCCTTCACCCTTTTAGGCAACTGTTTTAAGGGAGGGCAGTGTTTGGGGGAGTGTTGTCTATATACTCTTGTCCTTAGCCTCAGCCATAGCCATCTCCACCTCTAGTTCCTTTCTAGTCAAGAATGGATGAAAAGCAAAACCCTCTTGTGCTTCTCTTGGGAAAGTAATTGGATTAAAAATAGAACTGGACTGGGACAAGTGCTCTTGAGAATGCCCCTGAGCCCCTTGTCTTCTGCTTGGTGTATTCTGGGCAGGCTCTCCACAACCCTGCGGCAGCTTCTGCAAGCAAGGATTGAGCCAGCTTGGAGCCTACGGGGTGGGAAGTTAGATTGAACTCCAGTTTGAACAAAAGATATCCTAGAGTTCCCTCCTTGAGATCTCACGTCACCATGTTCAACATTTTTCAAGGTTTTGCTGTTTCTAATTATTAATAAAGTGTGTGTTCTTACCTGCTCTGTCTTCTGTGTAGTATGCATTTCAGTGGCTTTGCTCAGATGCAGCATCTTAAATCTTCATGTTCCTTATGTCCCACTGAGGTAAAGGAAAGCTCAATCTCATTCACTGTTGAAGAACCCCTCCTCTTCCCGGGAGGAGCTTTAATGGGGCTTTCAATTCATTGCAATCATTCCTGGTACTCTCCCTAATTACACGTGGTCACTTGAAGGTAGGCACATCCCTTAGGAAGGAAGTTAGACATGAATGGCTGGGGTGGGGCCTGCCCTGAGGTCCTGAGCAGGGATCAGACCAACATTCCCTTCAGACTGTCTGTCTATGGGTGGCCTATCAGTCTGCCAGCAGGCAGGCTTGGAGCCAGGCTTTCTTGGTGCAAGCTCAAAGGAAAAGGACATGATATCAATGCCAATGTGACTTACTAGGGCCCTGGACTAATTACAATAAAATTTGCATTTCGGTTTTGACCCTGAATCCCCATGTGTTTTCTGAATACATCATGGGTAAGGGCAGAAGAAATATAGTTTCTGTCAGTCATCCCTGAATGCAAATCCAGAAAATCCTTTTAAACCCAGGAATTTGGGGTCTCTCTCTCTCTTGACTGACCTGCTCCTCGTTTGGAATGTAAGTAGCCTGGCCATTATGGCCATACACCTATTTCATTCAGGGGCCCTATTTTCTCCCTGGAATCTTGGTAGGGAGTAAGGAGTGCTTATGTATCATATGCCGTTTCCTCCTTCCTCTCTTTTCTGTAGTCACTCCTTTCTCCCTTAGCATAATTTGGTCAAGGTGACCAGGGTTATAGAAAGCCAGGCTAGCAGCATAAACCAACCTGTGAAAGGAGGATGAAAGAGCTGGATACCTTCTTGGAATAGGTATGGTGAAATGGGATAGATAACAAAAAATGATTTTCATACCAGAAATTTCTCTCTTCTCAGAGACATGACTAACAATGGGGGCCTTCGATAACTGTGATAAGAATACAGGAAAAGCCCTAACCGATTTGGCTCAGTGGATAGAGCATCAACCTGAGGACTGAAAGATCCCAGGTTTGATTCCTGTCAAGGGCATGTACCTTGGTTGAGGGCAAATCTCCAGTAGGAAGTGTGCAGGAGGCAGCTGGTCGATGTTTCTAACTCTATCCCTCTCCCTTCCTCTCTGTAAAAAATAGATAAAATATATATTTTTAAAAAGAATACAGGAAAAGAAGAGGGCTCTTATGGGAACAAACAAGTATTTTGAGGGGCGGAGAGGAAATACTATGAGTTTTTTATAGATCGTAATGTCATCCGTACATTTGGAAAGATAGGCATGTGCAGGTATTTTTCCTGCTGGTTATAAATTTAGTGCTGCTGCAATAGAAGAAGAGTACAAATGGTGCTGGCAGAAGAGGGGATAGAATCAGGCCTGGCAGAAGCAGTTGCCATTACTGATGTAGGAGAGGCCTGGTACTTGCAGGCGCTTATAAAGGTGGTGGTGATGGAGGAAGGTTATGGGTGTTTCTTTGAGTAGGAGAGTGCTGGAGAGATGGGAAGAGGTACTTTAGATCCTTTGGGAACCTCAGAGTAAGTGCAAAATTTTATGTGGAGGATCATAGCAATTTTCACTTCCACTCCACCTCCTCACTCATTCCTTTACTTTATATTCACTACTAGATCCTATGCAGGAGCAGTGCCTTCAAACTCCTATTTACAATTTCACAATATAGTACCTATCATTTAACCCCTTCCACTTCCACTAGCAAAAGCAGAATCAGAAGTAGCTTGAATAACAATACTTTCTGTGGGAGCATGTGCAGCTACTATATGGGCAAATGTGGGCGATAAGGAAAGGCAAGAAGAGGCAGCAGCCTTGGTGGCAGGAGGGACAAAAGGGTTAGCATTCTTCAAGATCCTTTAGGAATGAAAGAATTGTTCTTAGTAAAGACCAAAGGACTAGAATGGTGAAAAAAATTATTTTTGTTTCAGAGAGGTAGAGAGAAAGAGAGAGAAACATTAATGATGAGAGAGAATTATTGATAGGCTGCCTCCAGCACGCCCCACACTGGGGATCAAACCTGCAACCTGGCCATATGTATGTCCTTCTGGGGAATCAAACTGTGACCTCCTAGTTAATAGTTTGATACTCAACCATTGAGCCATGCCAGCTTGGCATATAGCTGCCTTATTAATATTTTTAATCCTCACCCAGGCTATTTTTCCATTGATTTTTAAAGAGAGTGGAAGAGAGAGGGAAAGACAGAGAGAAATATTGATGTGAGAGAAACACATTGATTGGTTGTCTCCTGTATGAGCCCCAACCAGGGCCAGAGCTAGGGAGGAGCCTGCAACCAAGTACATGCTCTTGACAGGAATCAAACCTGGGACCCTTCAGTCTGCAGGCTGAGACTCTATCCACTGAGCCAAATCAGCTAGGGCTAGCTTTATTTTTTTGTTTTGTTAAAAAATATAACATGAAATTTACCCTCTTAAAAATTTTTAACTGTAAAACTTAACTATATTAACTATAAGCACAATGTTATACAGCAGGACTCTAGACATTTTTCCATCTAACATAATCGAAACTTTATCCCTAAGCTTTTTTAATAAATATATTTTTTTCTTTCATACGTGGTTGCCCCAGGTGCTGATGGTCTCTCATCCCAGAGTCTTCTATTAGAAGTCTGTCTCATGCCACCTCCAAGTGCCTGGGACCAGGCTCCCAACCAGATGCTGTGCAGGGCAGGACTGCTCATGGTCAGAATGGGAGAGTGAAATATGCATGCACAGATGGCAAAGTCTATTGCCTTCCAGAAGTCTAAAGGCCCAAATGCCCTGAGATAATTGACCTGGGCCTCTGGATTAGAGCCCTTGGGTCCCAATCCTATTTCTGCCAAGGTCCAATGGAGAAGCAACAGGTATGCACCTTTTCATTGCACATTCTTGGGGACCAGTTCTTTCCCCTGTTGGCAGTTTCCCTTCAACCAAGCCCCTGCACCAGGAAATGTCCTTTTAAAAAACAACAACAACAACATTTTTTTATTGATTTCAGAGAGGGAGAGAAAGAGATAAACATCAATGATGAGAATCATAGATTTTCCTCCTGCACGCCTCCCACTGGGGATCAAACCTTCAACCGGCCATGTGCCCTTGATGGGAACCCCTCAGTCCGCAGGCTGATGCTCTATCCACTGAGCCAAACCACCTAGAGCTGTCCTCTTGTTTTGAACACCACAGGGAATGCCTGCGGGCCAGCGCCCAACCAGGTCTGGGTTTGTGGGTGTGGGGTTTCCTAGAAAGACAAAAGATATCCTTGGAGCTGGCAGCGTATGCTTTGGGGCTTCCATTATGTGGGTGTGTATGGGTCCAAATACAGGAGCAGTGGGAGGATGGGCTGGGGTCCAGATACAGGTACAAGGGGAGGACAGGCTGGGATGCACTGAACATCTGGAGTGACTCAGGATAGTGGAATCAGGACTAAAGTGTTTGCCAACAGTCTATTATGATTTTTGAAATATAGTGGCAACCATACTTTGGTAAAAACTGCAGTTTGAATTTTAACCCTGCTAAGTCTGGCTCTTGCATCCAATTAAAACACTG